ATGCCAACTCCATACCCATTCTGACCTGGTAGAGTTGATTTTATTTTCCTCCAGGTCAATTACGCCAATTCGGTCTTTGAGATGGGTGATTCAAGCGTACTGGATGACAGTGAAAAGGAAGAGTCAGGAGAATCCTGTGACGAGGCAGCATCGCCAGCTAAGCCAGCAGGAGATCAGAAGGCGGCCGCGCAAGAAGATATTACAGATGGAGTGAAGCGCAAAGCGCAAAGCAATGACAAGAAAAGAAAGGCTGCAGGTACGCATGACGTCATTTCAAAAATGGCATGGCAGCGCAGATTGTGCACGACTTCTGTTCAATGGTTGCATGGCAGATATACATGTGCATTGAGCCCACGATTCACACCCAATCTCTCAGCGCACGAAACGCACAGTTCACCACACAAAGAACTCAGAACAAAGATGGAAATCACACCAGATATTAGTACTTCGAAAATTGACTGCAAGCCAATGTCTTTTACATCGAACTCGTGTGTACACAGGTACAACGGTTATGGCCACCCGAGCAAGACCCTCAGATATGATGCTCTCTCTCTCTCTCTCTCTCACACACACACACACACACACACACACACACACACACACACACACAAAAAAAAAAAAAAAAAAAAAAAAAAAAAAAAACTGCTTTAATATGGTGAACATCTCAAATGCTCTCGTTGGCTGCAATAGGACAAAGACTGCTTTGATTCTGAATCTATTCACCTGGGTGGAATTGGGGCTGTTGCGGGGAAAATCTAAAACACACACAACGGATTTCACTACAATATACACGAACCTCCCACATGACGATGTCGAGCGCATCGGCTCCCACCTTTCTGCAAAGCGTGGGAGCCCTCCCGGCCTAAAACAAAATTAAGAGAACTCGGGAACGACGCCTAACTAATCCCGCGAGCCGCCGAGACGGCCGCGGTTGCGTTGTCCCTTCGCCGCTCTGGCCGGGTGCGCCAGCTGTACATTCCGCGGTCCCCTATGACAGGATAGGTTCCCGCGGGGCATAAGCTTTGTCACCACCCTTAGGGGCGTATCCCTACCGAGCTACTGACCCACGTGCGGAAGTTTTTATATGCAATCGCAAAGGCAGGTCAGCCGAGGAAGTTTTCCCCTCATTTTTCTTTAACCCCTCATTTTCCTGTGTAGGGGCAGCTTGTTTCCCAAAACGAGCTGCGTCCCTAGTCACTTCGCTGAGCCCAACCAAAGTCGGGCTCAAAGGGGTCTCCTTTCCCCTTGCCCGTGCCTGTATCTGGGCTAAACAGGCGCCTGATACAAGCGCGCGGCTCCAAAGCCCCCCCCCAAACGTGTGGGCTTAAGTCCCTTAAGTACACGGTCCCACCCACGCCCTGAATCTAGCCACGTTTCCGTGGCAGATTCGGCTTAACTCGGCATACCTTAACGCCGACTGTCGAGGTTCAGCCTCCCGATGAGTCGGTGGAAGTCTGACGAAACAGTCTGGCACATCATGCTTTTTTTTTTTTTTTCCCTCCCTGCCCGTTCGTTCGAAATGAACAGGCGCCCATTCCTTGCGCAAGGGTCATGCTAATTTTCTCTGTATCCTTCCAACTTTAACGGATGTCCCGAAGGACGAACGGGTGCCCGTTCATATCAGAGAAAAAAAAAGAAAAGAGAAAAACAAAAAAAGAATCTAATAGAAATCTTAAAATGAAATCTAGAGAAAATCAGAAAAAGAAGAAGAGAAAAAAATAAAAAATATAAAAAATATAAAAATACTTAACTTTTGACGAAACAGTGGCCCGTTTATCGGGCACTGTCAGGTGCACTGGGGATCTAAACGCCCCAGGCACTTTAGGCTGCGCCGCCTGTAACAGCCTTTAGTCTTAGTAGGTTTTTTTTTTTTCCTTATCTTTTTCGCTTGCTTAGGCCAATGAACAGTTCTTCACGTGGCTTTTCAGCCACGGAATCTGAAATACAGGCCTGAGTTTGAATCCCAACGGATTCGAAAAAAAATGCAGGTTTTTTTTTTTTTTTTTTTTTTTTTTTTTTTTTTTTTATGCATGTTATCCTTGCGCAGGCCCATGCCAATCAGCGCGGCTGATCTCGGCCGCACGATCTTCGTGATCGACGGTCGGAATCGACCGCGCCGACAGCGTCCTAAATGGCCAGCTCCAAAAGGAGCTAGCCCAGTAGCGCAGTCTCTCAGATTCGATCCCAGCGTCTGTCGGGTGAAAGTCGTGTGGAAGTCATATGGTAATCATTTTTCTTCCTCAGGCTGCTGTGCCCTTCGTTCATCAGTGCAAGGAAAATAAGCAACAGCGAGATGACAATCCCAAATCACACCATCACATTGCAAGCCAAATAGTCACACCGTGTCCAGATAGCAGCATTGCACCAATAATACACCAATGGAGTTTCGTAGCACTGAAAAACCAATGTCCGTGGAGAGCACACTCTCTCCTCTCAACAAAAGAGTCCAGTTCCCTTACACTCACACTTGGCGCTCAGCGCCCAGCCTACTCCTACACAGCTACTACAGACTACAAAAAGACAATGCAACTGTTGACATCAGCAGCAGCCCGAAGTACTTGAAGATGCCGCCCATGCAGACCATCGCCAATACAAGGTATGTGCCCTCACATCATTATCATCATCATCCTTCACCTATCCCCTGACTTCACCCACTCCTGTCCTCTCTGCCACCCGAAGACCACTCCTGCGCTTCATTGTAGTCCAAGCCCACCGGCTATGGTGGTTGGGCTATGGCGCTGCCCTCAGCAGCGCCCTCCTCCTCTGCACGACCACACGTGCTGCACCTCGCCTCCCAGCACTAGCAGCAGCCTACGAGCATTAGCTCCAGCAACGCTGCCGCCCAGCATGCGAGTGCCTGAATGAGGCAGCCAGGGCCGAGCTCTTTCCTTTATGGAAAGAGTTGGCCTGCTCACGCAGCCTGGCTGCCTTGGCCTGGGCTCAGAAGCTTCCGGAAGGCCCCAGGAGGCTGCCTGGATGCAGCAGCTACTGGGCTGCTGGGCCTCGTTCGGTTGGGCGCCCAACTGTCTCTGTATGAGGCTGCGAATCACGGCCAGGGCCTGCATTCTTTGGAAAGGCCCGGTAGGCCGTGGAAATGTCCTTGTTGCTCGGCCTGTGTTTCTTTCAACCAACTGGCGCGTCGCAACTGCCTGATCCCCAAATACGAAATTGACAGTCGAAGGCCTTTTGCAAAAAGCCAGGCCCGCCTTCACTTAGGGCGGGCACCTCCGGCTTCACTTAGGGCGGGTAAGGCTGCAGACAGGGCCCCATATGCCTACCGAGGACCCTGATCCTCGCATTCCCTCCTCCTTAACTTCGTGAGTCCTTTGAGAAGTCTTCTTATTCTGCAGGCGTCTTTCCTTTTCGTTCTCTTTCATAGCCTGCAATCACTTGAGGTGCTGTTCTCATGAGTTCTTCTCGTGTGAACCAGCGATCTTCCTTGGGATCGAGGTGATGTCTGAAGCTCACCCGATACTGCATTCTCGGTTTAGGAGGTCACCCTTTGCCTGATGGTCGAGGAACAGGCATCATCCGATGCTCGACGATCTGGTCAATGTCCACTTCGCCATCCATGGTTGGGGGCAGCATTGATCTCCGAGAGGGGAATTGGTCTGTGGCAGCAAAAGGTGCCAGCTTTGACGCATGGAAAACAGGATAAGTCCGTAAGTGAGCAGGGATGCGAATCACGTATGAAGGCCCATCCGGTTGATCCCCTACAATATCTAAGATCTCCCAGGGCCCAAAGTACTGAGGCATCAGTTTTCTTGAGATCCCTATTTCTTGTCCCAGTTCAGATGATTTCACCCAGACTCTCTCACCTACCTGAAAGTTAGATGGCCGTCTATGTTTGTTCTCAGATGCAATCATCGCATCTTGAGACTTCTGAATATGTTCAACGGCCTGCTGCAGCATCTGATCATACTTGACAGCAAACTCTATGTTGCCAGGTGCTGCAGTAGGTTGTCTTTCTGGTTACAGAAAGTCAAACGCAGATCTGGGCTTCCAACCAAGATGTAACTGGTTGGGAGTCATACCGGTGGAACAATGCATAGCATTGTTGTACAGGCTGGCGACGAGAGGTAACTTCTCGTCCCAGTCATCCTGGCGTGGCTTAATATAATGCCGAAGCAAGTGCTGCACTACCCGGTTCATCTGTTCTGCTTGGCTATTTGACTCAGGGTGATTCCCTGACGTCATCTGGAGCTTTGTGCCCATTTGCTCAGCAGTTGACTGCCATAGTTCACTTGTGAACCTGACATCCCTATCACTAACGATAGACGTAGGCAAACCGAAATCACGAACCCAATTGTCCATAAACAGTTTGATGACGTGGTCAGTTTTAGCTGTTTCTGGCATAGC